TAATCTTCATGTATCAGAAATTGTGTCATCAGAATTACCATATAATGTGATTTTTTTTTCAGTTTGTTCTGTAATTGACATCCACTGCAAGTCTGTCCGTATATTTTTGTGTTTATTGTTGTACAGATTGTAAAGCCCCCTTGAGGCAAATTGTGATTCATGATTTGGGGGTTAAATAAATAAAATCTGACTTTTCTTTACTTAGTATTGTGGTATTTTAATCTTCCAAAATTATGCAGGAATTGATTGAATTAGCTTTAATTCAGGTCCAAATGATAATGAGTAAGCAACAATGCTCTGCACATGATTATGGGTTTGAAATCCTGTTATAGACTTTATTGCTGTTGTCTGGGTCTAGCATTTGTGTAAAATTGAGTGCATAACCTTTATATACTGAAAATAAAATGATCGAAAGAAAGGATTCAGGCAAGAATCAATCATGGGCGCAAAGAGCGCTCTCACCGTGTATATCCTCCATAAAATGTGAGAGTGAATATTCTCCTGACAGGATGTTGACCTGTCGTCTCAATGTATCACCAAAGGGGTGCTGCCCCCTGCTGACCACAAAGTAGAACACACAGCCTGCTGAGAACACGTCCACTGCAGCTGTCTGTAGAGAGAAGAGAGTGAAAACTGGATCAGAGGACCAAAAACTACAAATATGCATACTTCAATGTATATATGTGTATTTCTGGCACAGAAAAACATAGACCCTTATATACTACATAAATCTGTTTTATCATCTATAACTGGAATCCATTTTTTCTCACTGTGGCTATTTTAGTTAAAACAAGTTCAAAGACAGACGTTGTACAATGTTTGTTGTACCGGTTTGTTGCCAGGAGTCTCCCGCAGAACTTCAGGAGCTATCCATCCTTCAGTTCCTGGTATTCCTGACCGCAAAGAGAAGCTGCTCCGACCGTCTGGGATCTTCTTACAGAGTCCAAAGTCAGAGATTAGAGCTCGCACCTGACCCAGCGCACTGGGGCCAGAAAGGAGGATGTTTCTGGGCTTCAGGTCACGATGGACTAAAAGATGAGATGAGAGCAAAGAACACAGTTTTTCAGAAAAATGGGTGGCGAGATAGGAGGATTTTTAGCTGGATTAAGCAGTACTGAAATGCCATTTGTTTCTGGGGGAATTTAAAAACACCATTGTGCATTCAATACACTATATGTGTGTGTATCTCAGACCTATGTTGAGTGAGTGGAGGTGTGAGAGGCCACACATGGTCTGTTCCAGCAGAGTTATAGGATTCAGCCCAGGAAAGCAAGATGGATCCTCCACATACTGCAGAGAATACCAACAAAGAAAACACACACAAACATGTTAGTTTGGTCCGATTCAAGGATGGGAAACTGCTTTATAATGATAATAAAACGTCAGCTAACAAGGCCCTACAGTACTGACCTGCTGCAGGGTTGCAGTACACAGCTCAATGGCGATGTAAGTGAAGAGGCGGTCTCTCTCTGTGCAGAAATATCGGATGACATTCGGGTGCGTGTCGGACTCTCGGAGGAGCTGCACCTCACGTTCTGCTAACTCGAAACACTCCGGCAGTATTCGCTTCACCGCCACTTGGCGTCCGTCAAATGTACCCCTAAAGATGAGAGAACAAAGCAACATAAAATATTACACACTGTACTGTATGTGCCTCAGAACAATATAGTTTATCTCATAAATTAATTTGTTTGGTTTAGCCCATTAACTCAAAGCTGTGTATACTTTATGCTAGTATTGTTGGCCATTTGGCAAATCAATAATGGCTGAATTTATAGCTGTTTTGGTTTCAGGGTCTTGGTATTGTGTATGTTGGCTCACTGTCACATTGTCATGACTTTACTGGCTCACTTGAATAGAACAGAGCCACTGGTGGACTCGGGGCACCTTCTTGGATGCCCCCATGGTAGAGAAAACTTAATGAAGTGCCCTCTCTGGTGCTAAAACACCTCTGCACCTCAAATAAGTCTGCCACTGAACAGAGCTATTGTTATGGTCTTTAATAACAACTATGGTTTTTCCTCCTCTGTCAAAACGTTAATAATTTCAGATCCCAGTGACCATTTAGCCACCTTTATATTTTGTTTAATATTTAGATTAATTATATACTGTACACAAAGATTATGTGGCATACTCTTTACAGATGAACGCAGTTTCAAGCAGGGACTGTTTATCTGATGGTGTGTTCACTGTTGCTCCAACATACAAGAATTTACATTCAGTTGTCAGCCAACAGCAGCCTTTCAAATACAGCAAATAACCAAATAAAGGTGATAATAAACAAAAGTCTACTGGTAAGAAATCAGTCTTATCTTGCCTGAAAATGCTTCACAGAAATGTAAATGCACACCTGTTTTGCACCTAATGATCTGAAACGTGCATCCTTTGATTAAGGCCAGTGCCATTAATGTTGTTAAAATACACAAACTGTACCTGAAGACAAAAGTTCCCGCTGTCCCGTGTCCAAGGACCTCCGTGGGAGTGAAGGAGATTTTACCCACCTGTACCTCCTCACTGTTTCCTTCTGAGAGAGGCAGAAAGGAAATTAATCTCATCTTAATGGTGAGGGACACACAGAAACACTATGTATAAACACACACACAGTTTGGTGTGTTACCTGCTGTGGGTTTGAGCCCGGCAGTGCCATTTATATCTAAGGTGCCGCTGCTGTGAGTGTGAGGACTGGGAGGAGGGCTAGCAGATGCTGACTGAGAGTCTGGATATAGAAAAGTGAAGATATACATACAGTACGTTTGTGTTACATGCAAGTAAGTAAGTAGCTTTTTCTGTTTCAATTTAATCATGGAATGAATAATATATTTAAGATTTCTAGGCTTTGAGAAAAATGCTGCTTCTTAATTTCCTTTAAAAAAGTGCAAGGCAAAGAGAAAGGTAATTAAATACAGGGAATACAGCATAATAGAGAACTGGATTTATAAGTTACTTACCACTGGAGAGGTTGGTGTCAGTAGAAAGGGTTGTGTCTGAAGAGACCAGAGTTGCTGTCTGGGTGTTTATCTGCGTGTTTATCTGCGCGTTTATTGCCGCGCTGGCCTGCGTGTTGGTCTGCATGTTTGTCTGCATGCGCTGGAGACGAGACTCAAAAGCTTCCTCCAGCTGCCTCTGAGCTTTCAGCTGCTGGGCTGCACGCTGAAGAGACACACACATTTATATACAGATCACACTACATGCAGTTAGAAGATGAGACTGAGAAATACTGAAGAGGGTGAATATATAAGAAAGATTATAAGACCATAAAACTCTCTTATGCAACAATAAAAACAAAGCAAATACCATTCAGCCCAAATGTTTATTTCACATTGAATTTAAATTATTTTTTTTTATGCTCTACAAATTAAATTAAACGTATTAATATGCAAATGCATCCAGGCAGGTGCCCCGGATTCTAATTAGATCATTGAGTCTGTGGAGCTTTGGTCTAAATATGATGTATCTATCATGTATTGTTATTAGCCCCCCATGATGACTTAATGTCCTGTTCGTGATTTGTAACATGGCAGCAGGATTGGTGAATTTTGCATTTCAGGATTTATTTCATTTTTGTTTTCTTTTATTCCTGTTAATAAAAGGTCAACTACATACCATAGGGCTATTTCAATTACCTGGCGAGGACGGCCAGAAAACGTATTTGTAAGGGTTTCTACTTCAAGGGATTCACTGAGAGCAGCCTCAATAAATCAAACTTAAATGCAACCACAGAAGATGTATTTTAGTTAGTTTTTCCATTTTTCGAAGCTAAAGAAAACACCCAATTCCTATATTAAGGTGATTAAACACTAATGAAAACATACCTATGAATATTATATTCTGTTTCTGCCAATGGATCTTCCTAAATGTTAACCACTGGGCCTTTAAAAACAAAAGTTATATATATATATATATTGTGTGTACCATTTAGGTCTAACAAATGAAAGCAGTTTGCAAAGCCGATTTTCTTTAAAAATCCAGCATTGTTTACATCCATGTTTACTAGCTATCATTCTTCTTCTTCCTTGTCTTTGCTGGTGCACTGCAGCACATCTCGTTACTGGAAGAGTTCACAGAATACCTTTAATCTCTTACTTGTACTACCACTATTGTTTGCTCTACAAAGACGAAATGTGTATACACGTTCCTTAGGGGTTCGTTAAAATTTTAGCACATGCCAAAACCTGTAGTATGTAAGGCAAGCAAGAGATGAACATTTCCATCACAAAATTACTCTTTGGATACAATGACAATTATAGATCAAAGGTACATAATTGTTTGAGAGTATCTTAGAGTGGATATATTTTCCCTTTCACTCTCCGGCAGGCATTCAATTTGTCACCATTTGTTCACATCTTTGAGAATAAAACCTGGAAAACTACAACTGCAACAACAGATAGACATAAGAGTCACTCACAACGGGGTACGTGAGCGCGAAGGCCAGCCATCCTCCCAGCAGCAGTGTCAGGACAGCCAGAGTAAGACGATCCTGAGTCATATAGACAGGCAGCACAGCAGCCGGTTTCTGAGCCTGTCCTGATGTCCTCCCATCAACCCCTCCTCTATTAGAATTAGTGTCGCTATGGCCACCAGAAACTGTCTGAAACTGAAGGACACAATAACAATAACAGGGATAAGAAACAATGGAAAATATAATGAGGTTTCACTTGTTTTTATCTATGTTTGTTGCCACTGTTCTCTGTAAAGCAGTTTACAATGAAAGGGCATTAAGTAGTTTATTACATCAATGCCCTGGTGTCTCAGACAGCTTGAAGTGGGTGATAATGGACAGTAATAGTCTGATAGAAGAGGATCACTGTCTGTTATCATTCCTGTGATTAACTGGCTGCAGTAGTGACACAGAAGTAGTTTGGAGCTGTGACTCACGTAGCGCTGGTGGTAGTAGGAGGCAGAGGAGATGGGGGAGGCAGAGGCCCGAGGCGGGATGACTGCCTCACCAGAATGCTGCAGGCTTCCTGGGAAATCTCTCAGCATGGTTGTATGAGCTACCGGAGGAAGCTCGTGATGACCTAAACCACATAAACACACAGATATAACGCATTCAGAGCTGTATCAGTGTTTGTTTTAGAGTCTTGTCTGATATTTTTTAAGTTTTTTTTCTTCTTAAGCCAGACTTCTTGCTTTGAAAAACCTAGCCAAGGTCAAATATTTTCAGATTTCAGATTTTTGGTCCACCCTGATTTTTCAGTTTTAACTTTCCCTCAGCCAAAGATAAACTGTAGATGTTTCAGAAGAATTGAAAATACAAAAACTTCCTAATAGTGCCCGGTATTATAACCAAAAAACAATGACTTGGCCTTTATCTAGGTTTATAGTGGCGTATTCTACACTGCCTCCTTCTCAACCTAAATATATAATAATAGTTGTATTAACACTATAAACTGATATAAAATACACAGTAAGTATTCAAAGAGATATTTCTAAAATGTTCTATTAGAGTTGTAAGTAAGAAACAAATGAGTTACAGCAGCTGTTTGAGCTCTGCACAGGTAGGGAAGTTAAAACCAGTACAGCAATTCATCTGGTTTATTGCCCAGCAGTATTTGATAATTACTCTATGATTTGTAAATACTACTTACAGATTATTTTTATTAGTTTGCTTTGGCAGGAGCCACATGTAACCAGGAAACTTGTAAATAGTGAAATATACTTGTTTATTAAAACATAAATTACAGTTTGGTTAGACCTACCTCCCCAGCTTTAGAGAAGTTTATGTTTTCATTGCTATTGGATGACATCCAGTAATGAAGATATAGTGGTTGTATAAACTGTGTGTGTGTGTGTGTGTGTGTGTGTTTACCTATTAGCAGCCAGTGGTTTTTCCGGCTGTTTGTGCTCCCTGGTGGATAGCGCACATCAGTGGACGGTGTGATCTCACACGCCCCTCGCTCTCTGACCGTCACCCCAGCCGTCACTGGACCCTCAATCCGAGCCAGGGTCAGTCCCCGAGGCTGCCATGGCAACAAGAAGCACAAATCAGTCACATGACAGCTATCCTGTTATCACCTCGATCTATTGATATACTGTATGTAACTATTAGTGTTCTGTTCAGAGAATCGTGACCTGGATGTGTGAGGAAACTCGGTGTGTGTATGCAGTTATATGATAAAAATAGATTATATATTTAAACTCACCACTAATGAGACTCCATGGTGGACGAGGGAGGTGGAGGCATAGAGGTGGGAGTCCAATTTTCCTACATAGAGAGTGGGTCTAAAAGAGAAAAAGTCAGGTTATTCCCTCAGCAAATAAAGTTATCTGACTATAAACTGATTAATATTATTAAATCATTTTTTATTAAATCGAATGGATCAACTGGTCATGGGACAAGAAATAGTTGACTCGATTTAGGGGCTTTCGACAGTATAGTATAATAAGATAGATTTCCAGTTTTCATTAACACAAAAAATACTTGTTCCTGATTGGTTGGCATATATTCCTTAAAAGATATAACCAGACACCTCAAACATAGTTCCAGCTAAGAGTTTAACAGCCGCAGTAAATCAGTGCACCAGGTAATGTGGATCAGATTGCAGTACTAGTATTTCATGCTGCTTATCAGCTAGCTCCCAAAGAGGAAGCAGACCTAAGACCAAGAGATAAACGGACTCCAGGAAAGGTGACGTTTTTAACACAGTTTATCTTTTTTGTCTTTAGTAAGTGGATCAGCCTGTGTAATAATATAACCTGAGGTGTCCTGAGAGAGAAAATAACCGACTCAGCAGCTCTTGTTCTGCCTTGGCCATTAAATATGTATGTCAGTACCCCTCTTAGTCTATTATCACTCACTTAAATTTAAAGTGACAAGAACACCTTTGGTTATAGGCGCAAATTGGATAAGTATTGGATAAGCCTTCTAGTTACCACTTTAATAAATCACACTGTGTATATGTATGTATGATTATATACAGTTTCTCTTACACAAGTTGAGCCTGTGCGCTGGCTTGCTCCTTCACAAACTGATAGCTCCATTTCAGTGTAGAGTGTGCGTCTGCCTGGTCGTTGGCAGAGGAGAAGGTGAGGAAGCGTAGCGTTTCCATGGCGAGGGACAGGTGGGGGGCATGTCTTAGCGAGTCGCCAGAGTACAGGTAGACCCCTATGACGGGCGAGCCATAGTTCTGACTCCACAAGACGTCACCTGGAAGAGACAAAAGACAAAACAACCTCACTAAGGGGTAGAGATGAAATTAAAGGGACACGTCAACCCTCTCACACGTATAAAGGTAATAAAATATCCACACAGTAAAAACCACACACCTCTCCCTACCTGTCTCTCTGTCAACTGTCACCACGAGACCGTCACCGCTCGACACAAGATGGGCCATTTCTAGAAGCACATCAGGTAGGACAGGTCAGTTTCGGATGAGTTGGAATGTGATATCTTTGCTGTAGTTGTTTTAAGAGGTTTCACGCTTTCTTTCAGGTGTCAAATATCAGCTGGAGTCCTCTTTTATTTTATTGTTCAATCTTGAACCACTTTATCTAGTTGTTTTAAATATAAATATTAAACTAGAGAGCACTCAGAGAACACATACCTTCAGTGAGGCTGAACTACAAAATGTGGAGTTTTAATATTTTTTGATTTTTAATATCTATATCTGGTACAAAATATGTATCAGAATACAAAATGACTGACAGTTACGATAAATGTGCCAGATTCATTTTCATGCAACTAGGTGCAGTAGTTCATGAACAAGTAGGAATAATGTTCAAAAATGTTCTCACGTTTTATTTATACATCGATTCAGATCCGTACCAAAATATTAATGACTTGTTCTTTGACATTCATATCGTAACTTTTTACTTTATTTTACTAGATTATATTAAGATATTCTGCGGACAAACAAACTGGGAAATAACTCCTTGTAAACAACTAAATGTTAGAGGGTGAAGGTCCATTCTTGACCTAGAAAATATAATTTTAAAGTTTTGCATTGAGTGAAATGTTATATTTAATGAAGTGACTATAAGTAAAGAGACTCTACAACAGGCAAATGTTTCATTCTATATAATAATAACGTACTTAATGTACAATAATAATGTTCTGCAAGGCTGTCATCAGGTTAAATGTACACTTGAGTAATCCAGCCAATTACCTGCTGTGAATATGTGTGCAGGGTTGCAGGGTGTGTGTGTGTGTGTG